TTGCTGCTGCTGCTGCTGCTGCTGCTGCTGCTGCTGCTGCTGCTGCTGCTGCTGCTGCTGCTGCTGCTGCTACTGCTGCTACTACGACGACGACGACGACGACGACGACTACTACTACTACTACTGCTGCGAAAAGTACTACTACTACTACTACTACTCCTCCTCCTCCTGCTGCTGCTGCTGCTGCTGCTACTACTACTACTACTACTACTACTACTACTAGCGGCACTACCACGGTAATCATTGCACTCATACAAATTAGCACCGCTCCAGCACGCCTCACGAAGCTCATCTGACGCCGCGATGCGGACAATGTCTCCCAGATCCATAAGAGGCCTTTAAACCCATGGATCCTGAGACTAAAACTCTGCATGGGGGGCTTCTTCGCGTGAAGATGTAGGGTGTACGGGTGCAGGGTTTAGGGTTTGGGATGGTACGATGAACCCTTGATCATTCTTTTGCTTCGTCCTTCTGTCCTTTCTTCGGCTAACCCTAAACCCTAAACCCTAAACCCGAATTCTTCGGCTTTGCTTCATTCCTTTAGTTGAAGGATTCCAGGAGCTCGCGTCTGGCTTTGGGCGTAAGTATAGGAAACCTCAAACCCGGCTTAGGGAGTCTAAGGGTTTAGGGGTTGAGGGTTTGAGGTTTAGGGAGTTGAAGGGTTTAGGGGCTTAGGGTTTGAGGTTTAGGGTTTCGGAGCTTGAATGCAAGTTGCCATGACAAGGAGACCATACTGTTTACTACAGATCCCTGTGCTGACAACTTAGGTTCCCTAACCCTAAACCCAGCTGTCGTGGTGGACAGCCGTGTGCACGAGCCAAGCGGCTAGCAGCGGTCACACTTTTGCAGAGACATGTCACAGCAACTTGGACATGTTGGGGATTGAGGTTGCGCCGTTTACTTTAAGGCCTCAACAATGAGAAATAGGGTTTGGGGTACATTATGCTATAACTATACTAAGTAGCCCCCAAAATAGCATAGGTAACTATTTAGGCCCCTATATTATTTGCCAAACTCGGGACTGGGTTCGCTTTGCCGCGCCAGTGTTGCAACGGTCGAGCTCAGCTGGGTCTTGCTGGGACATGCTGCCATTCGCACTTCTGGCGACCCGAACTCAAAGAGCAAGCCGACCGGAAAAGCTTCTCGTCGGCTGCTGAAGACTGCTACTGAAAACTCTATCTTGAATCGATTACCAAAAAAATCAACGGATACATGTGAACTCTCGGGAACCCAGGGACACCCGAATACCCCTTATTTCCAAACAATGCTTCTCCTTATCTCTTCTAGGAATAATCCTTTAGTTGCTGGACTCCCGGAAAGCTCACAGTGCACTCCTCCCTTAGCTCACAGACCAAACTGCTCGATGGCATCCTTGCCCGTGTAGAGCTCCGCAGCGATGATGCCGATGGCTGCGAACATCGCGAATCTGCCGTTGTTAATCTCACGCTCCCTCATCTCCTGTTTAAGGATGTTGGGCATTTACGGTTCAGGGCCGATCAGGGTTGAGGATGATCGAAAAGCGGATCCGTGCCTTACGGAACTCTCTGACATGTTCTCTCCACTCCAGCCAAAACCAAAGTAACCGCAGCACTGAACAGCCGCAGGCCTGGGTGTACTGGTTCAAGCCGGCGGGGTCGCCGAAGTTGCCCGGCTCCTTGTCGGGTGTGCTTTCTGTGTTTTTGTTGATTCGTTTTTGTTGCCCGGCTCCTTGTCGGGGCTCTCGGTCCAGGCACCGAGCTCCAAGATACCGGCCACCGCAAAGAGGGCCACGAAGCCGTAGCTGCCTGGCGCAGTGATGGACGCTGCAAGGCCGCTGGGCACGGAGTCAAAGCCCGGGAACTTGACGTAGTGCTGAACCACGGCGCCCAAGGCTGCCATCATGGCAACACCTGAGAGCAGACTGTTCCTCCGGCCCGGCACAGGGCAAGCCTAAAGTAGAGAACCCACGGCCTTAAAGCCTTAAAGCATGGCAAAAACGGGCCTTCTGCTTGTATACGCATATACTTATCTTACTTATAGCCGTCTTAAAAGGGCTCAGGCACGGCCGTGCTTGATCTCAGCAGCACGCAAGGTGCGGAAGCCGTCCTCGTCGCCCTTCTTGCTGAAACCTGCTGGATCAAAGAAGCCAAGCGGGTCCATGGCGCCGATCTGCCTGGATTTGGATTAAGAAAACTGCTGCTGCTTCTGCTGCTGCTGCTGCCACCTACTACTACTACTACTACTACTACTACTACTACTACTGCTACTACTTCTGCAGCTTATGTCCAAAACAGAAAGTCTTTGATCAGATCCCAGTTGCGTGGAGGGGTCGAAAGTCGGGCTGGGGCCCTTCTTGCCAACCACGCCCTCACCTTTCGACAAGGAGCCCGCACCGGCTGTGCCGGCCACAGCCGACGTGGTTGCGGTGGCACCCTTCGCAGCTGCCGCTGCCTTCAAGAGGTGGTTCCGCCCTCTCTCCCTCTCTCTCTCTCTCTCTCTTTTTCTCTCTCTGTCTCTCTCTCCCTCTCTCTGTCTGTCAGTCTCTCTCTCTCTCTCTCTCTTGCTTTCGCTCTCTGTCTCTCTCTCGCTCTCTCTCTCTCTCTCTCTCTTTGTCTCTCTCTCTCTCTCTCTCTCTCTCCCTCTCTCGTTCAACGGTTGGCACAGCTGCGCGATGATGCCAGCTAAGTTGCGGCTCGGGCGTCGTCCCGAACCCCAACCAAAAGCCCGAAAGTTAGCTCTCAGACTTAAACGGTAAACATGAGATAACATAATATAACATAACAGATTGGATTCATGTCCGATCCTCGCAACCAAGCCACACACGACATGTAGTTTTGGCGGGGGCAGTGCCATTTGCTGTTAAAAACATCACGATGAGGCAGCATCATTTGGGGCGTCAGAGCCCAGAGAAACAATCAGGAAGCATATGTTTCACCCTGTACTCTAAATCCTACTTGGAGGTTCATGGGTAGTTATAAGTAGGGTTATAAGTAGGGGAGCTATAGCTATATCCTATATTAGGGGACTTATGACTCCACTTATAACTACCCATGAACCTCCAAGTAAACCCCAAGCAGGATTGAAAACCCCCGGACGGCCCGTTACCGCAGGACAAAAGTTCGCCGTATCTGCATTTGTCAAAGAAGATCCTCCGTATGTCAAAACTTTCGTCCCGGCGATGTGGAATAGAGTCTAAAATACCATATACCCTAAACCCTAAACCATATATCATAAATATTGAATACAAGATGATATACCATGTATAAATAAATAAATATATATATATATATATAGACCTGGTAGAGGCCTTCGCAGCAGCTGCCGCCGCAGCCGCAGAGACTGGCTCAGCCCTCAATGGCGAGGCCTGGAATCCCCAGTATCCCTTGGAAAGGGGTTTAGGGGTTTAGGGACATAAAAAAAAAGGGTTTAGTGGTTCAGGAGCTTAAAAAACAAGGTTTAGGGTTCAGGGAGATAAACAAGGGTTTTGGGGTTTAGGTGTATAACAAGGGTTCAGGATTTCGGGACTCTAAACCCTACACCGTTTTGGTATCTAGAAAACCGAGAAGAAGCAGGCTTAGAAGGAACCATAGAGCCCCACAAAAAGGGGAAGAAGGGACCTCTGCGAGACGCAGAGGCCCTTCAAACCATAAAACCTAAACCCGAAACCCTAAAGCTCTAAATCTTAAACCCTAAGCCCTAAACCCTCAATCCTTAGCCCTCAACCCTAAACCCTAAACCCTAAATCTTAAACCCTAAACCCTAAACCCTCAATCCTTAGCCCTCAACCCTAAACCCTAAACCCTAAATCTTAAACCCTAAATCCTAAACCCTAAACCGAGACCTAGAGGCTGTATACAGGCTCCAGTCTCCCCAAGCGGAGCCAGTGAGGCCGTCCTGGAAAAACATGCCTTGGGAAGTTTGCGCTTTAGGGTTTAGGGTTTAGGGTTTAGGGTTGAGGTTGCGGCTTAGGGTACTTGCCTAGGATTTCTGAGCTTAGGTGTTGTGCTATAACCTAGAGCCCGAAGTTGGATAATGACCTTCTCCTTGACAGGATGTCCTCTTTCATCCTCTCTCATCTTCGCTGCTTGTCTTGTCACTTAGCATCCTCTCCCCTTCTCTCCTGCAACAAAGAACGCAAAAAGCCGATAGGAAGGTCCATGCAAATCTCTGATAACGTTGACAACCCTAAACCCTAAACCCTAAAGTTGAGCCGCCGATGATGGCCATCATGGCCAGCCGTCCATTGGCCAGCTCGGCTGCAAGCTTCTTTTTGCGCTCCTCTGGGTCCTGCCGTCGTTTAGGGTTCAGGGTTTCGGGTTTAGGGTTTAGGGTTTAGGGCGCCACATAATGTAGGGGTCTTAATAATTAAAATCGGGTTTTCGGGCCCATTATACTAAAAACATAATAAGGAACCCCCCAAAAAATATTGGTAATTATCTAGGCTCCGACATTAGGGGCATTGAGAATTGGACGAGGGGTTGGGGCTACTACTGGATTCAAACTTGATATTTGGGAAACCGGGGAGGGGGGGGGTAATATCCGACCCTGTAATTTTATGCAAGCACTTCTCTATTGCCAAGCTGGCAACAAGGAAAGCACGGATCGTTATGATGAAACCACGGCGGTGAGAATGAGCGCCTTGCTGCTGTTGCTGATGACGATGGTGACGATGATGATGGTGATCCCTCCCCGCATTTAGCCCATAATAGTAAAAACACTTTGGGGCCAATCCTCCCGAAATCATCCCTGCCCTTTACAGCCTAATTTGCATTAGCTGCATTAGGGAGTCCGGAGCAAGAGCAGGAGTAAGAGCAGGAGCAAGAGCAAGAGAAAAAGCAAGAGCAAGAGTAAGAGCAAGAGCAAAAGCAAAAGCAAGAGGAAGAGCAGAAGCAATAGCAAGAGCAGAAGCAAAAGCAAGAGGAAGAGCAGAAGCAATAGCAAGAG